CCAAGGTGCAGAGTGTAGGAGAGCAATGTCAGGCACGTAAAGGGGAGGCAATTAAACAGCTAGGGCTTTGTAGGAGATTTTTAAGGACTTTGGCTTTTACTGTGAATAAAATGAGGAACTATCAAACACCGTTGAGCAGAAGAGTGAGGTGATGTGATTTATGTTTTAAATGGATTCGTGTGATTTATGTTTACTGAACAGGTTTGGCTTGGAAGACCAAAAGTTTAGTTTTATCCATCTTAAGTTTGAGATGCTTGACATCTCAAGTAGAAATATTGAGCAGACAATTGGATATAAAGTCTGGAGTCCAAGGAAGAGGTCTGAGCTGGAGATATAAATTCGGAAATTGTCAGCACGTTGATGGTATTTAATATGTTTGCATGAAAGCACCTGGGGAATGAGTGAAGATGGAGAAGAGGTCCAAAGATGGAAACCTGGGGCTCTAACATTAAGAACCAGCAAAGGAGACTGAGAAGGAGCATCTCGCAAGGTAGAAAGACAAACAGGAGAATGAAGCTTCCTAGAAGCCAAGGGAAGCAAGTGTTGAAGGGAGGAGGGTCTACTCAATTGCGTGAGATGATCCAGAACTGGTGTGTGCGGAGAAGGGAGGGAGAGGAGTATTGGGGGATATGTCCCTTTGTTTCAACTGAGAAAGTGTTCTTCCTCCCCAAATCCTCTGTCAGCTCAGCCATGTGGTGATGTAAGGTGCTGGGCTGGGTTGGCCTCCTTGGTTGACTTGTTTTTAATATGTGTAATCCCCCTGTCCCTCCTCTGCCCCGATTACTGATGATCCTGGCGAGGAACATTTCCACGGGGATGTGTGCATTTGCTACTTCTGGCTTGTAGACAAGTAAATACAAATGCTGCTTTATCAATTTACTGTACAATTGCTCTGTGGCCAAAAGCAGAGTTGGAGGTCTGCGTCCAACTGCCTTCAGGATAGAGGCCAAACTCCTTAGCATGCCCTATCAGCCTTCATCAGACGGCTTTATTTCTTGCCATCCTCCCAGTTCTCCACCTCCCCTACCTTCCCCTACCTCTCCTCCCCTCACCGCACCCCCCATGCTCCATCCACACTGGACTTGCTGCTCTCCTCTAGGCACACTGTGCTCTTCTGTGCCTCTGCCCTTTACACATGCTATTCCTTGTGCTTGCAATGCCCTTCTCTGCTTTTGTGCTCAGGAAGGCACTGCTGGCCTTTGGAAGCCCAACTTACTGGAATTTCCGTTGTTAAGCCTTTCTGATCCCCAGGCTAGAGTACTTATTCCTTTCTCTGATTCCCCCTCTCCTGTTGAATTTCCACATTGTATTGAAATTGTTCATATGTCTGACATTTCCCATTGGATTTTATCGTCCTCAAAGTCAAGGGTCTTACTTATCTCAGTATCCCCTACTCTGTCTGCCACATAGTAGATACTTAATGATAATAATAGCTAACTTAAAAAAACTTTATAATATGCTTGTCTTTATGCTAAGTACTTTTGCCTGTATTTTCTCATTTTATCCTCATAACAACTCTGAGGTAAGGTTTATTATTTTACCATGCTATAGATGAAGAGACTGAGGTTCACAGTGGTTATGAAATTGCCAAAGGTTACATAATCTAGATTTCAAATCTAGTTGATTGCAGGGCCTGAGTCTTTAATTTCTGTTCTGTACACTTAAATAAAGGAGAAAGGAAGGAAGGGTTAGGAATGTAAGTTCTTTTTAGGTTTTCTGGGGTCCAAAACTCCCATGTTTTCATCTTTCATTAATTTCTAAACTAATGTGCCTTGCATTAACCATCTTTCTAAATAATTATGTGGCATAAAATCTATGTGGGCCTGGTCTAATCAGTTGAAAGGCCTCAAGAACAGAACTGAGGTTTTCCTGAGGAAGAAGAAATTCCACCTGTGGACTGCAGCATCAGCTCCTGCAGGGGGGTTTGCAGGCTGCCCTTCCTGACAGGCTGCCTTAAGGATTTCAGACTTGCCTAGCCAGCTCCTACAATAGCATAAGCCAATTCCTTGCAAATAAATCTTTCTCTCTTTTTTTCTCTCTATATCTTCATCTCTATCTCTCTATCTCTATCTCTATATGTCTCCTATCTCTTTATATATATCCTACTGGTTCTGTTTTTCTAGTGCCTGACTGACACAGTGAGCAAGTAAAAAATGTGTCTATAAGGGGCCAGCCCCGTGGCTTAGCGGTTAAGTGCGTACAATCCGCTACTGGCGGCCCGGGTTCGGATCCCGGGCGCGCACTGACGCACCGCTTCTCCGGCCATGCTGAGGCCGCGTCCCACATACAGCAACTAGAAGGATGTGCAACTATGACATACAACTATCTACTGGGGCTTTAGGGAAAAAAAGGAGGAGGAATGGCAATAGATGTTAGCTCAGAGCTGGTCTTCCTCAGCAAAAAGAGGAAGATTAGCACGGATGTTAGCTCAGGGCTGATCTTCCTCACACACACACAAAAATGTGTCTATAAGAGAAGTTAAAGAGAAAAAAATAACTGAGTAAAGAAAGAGAAGAATATGATAATATTATAATAGATCATATGAAGAAGGGCCAAGGAGTGGAATTGGAGGATGAATTGTCATCCTTTAAGACTCTCCTTAGATGCTTCCTCATCGACACTAGCCTGAGTAGTTATTCTTATTCTGTCTCGGCTGTTGTCACCTCTTGACAAAGGTATTGTAATTGCATGCTGATATGTTTGTGATCCCCCACTCCCCTTCCCCATTCCTTGGTATGTGAGTTTTGAGACCTCAGGGTATACTGCACCTCTTTATCCCTAGCATATAGCTCAGTGCTTGACTCATATTAGGGGCTGAGTGAACATTTGTTGCCTTTAGGAGCACACAATTTGCTGAGCCCCCTTCTCTGCAAGGTGGTCCCACCAACATACTTCCAGTGCCTCTAGGAAATGGCAGTCAGTGCCTCTTATTTGACACTGATTCATTGAAAGATCTAGTGGCCACTTTACACGCACTGGCAACTCTCACAAGGGTATCTTGATATCTTGAGGGGCTTGTAGATATTTCCATCTTCACCAGAGACTTTCCCTGGGATCCTTTAATTCTTCTCTTTGTTGGAACCAGAGTTTGACCTGTTTCTGGAGGACACAGGTGTACTGGATGAGTGTCTTCTCTTTTCAAGATGAGATGGAAGGATCTTTCCCTGCAGGAAAGAGAGAGCAGAGGTTCTTCTAGAGGGAGAACAGCCACTCTAGGGATGCTCTGAGGGGGTCCAGATAGTGACTTCCTCCCGCAAACAGACTTTCCCCTCTGACAGTCTGGTAGTATGACTCACCTCCTGGGAACTACACGGAAGGGAAGATGTGAAATTCTGTCTTCCTTCCTTCTTTTAGAGGTCTGCATCTTTTGAACTTATTTTGTTGTGTCTGCTCTAGTCTCTTCTTTGTTGAAAGCAAAAGGAAACAGGAAACTCGTGCTTATTTATTGAATAAAGAATTATTGAAAGAATCAAAACTCACAATAAAAATGAAAATATAATTGGAGAAATGGCTGATTCTAGGACTGGGGCAGGAAACAATACAAGACAGGCCTAGTGCATCTTGTAGCGCCCAAAAGTAATGAAGTACTTAAAAAAAAAAATAACTGAAAAACAAACCACACTGATGTGTATATATCAAAGGGGCACAGGAGTCAACTAAAAGAGCTGCCAATAGCCAAAGCTGAAGAATTTGAGCAACAAAGTAAATAAAGTAGTATTGGGTTATAACACAAAGTATAAAATAACTATCCATGAGTCCACACTAATGTAGACAAATGATTGAATATATAAATAAATGGAGGAGAAGAGACAAATCCCCCAGGCAGAAGAATTTCAAATAAGTCGTGTAGATACTCCACCCTAAGGAAGGGGAGCATAACTCCTCACTCCTTCAGTGTGGGCTGCACACAGTGGCTTCCTTGCAAAATACAGACAGTATAGAAAGGAGAAAAAAAGAGTAACTTTATAGTGGATAAACCTGACAAACACTACTTCAGCCAGGTGATCAAGGTCACTATCAACAACGAGTCAAGTTGATTGTATGTACCCTTGATATGATGTGGTAAAAATGGCCCTTTACATCTGTGATTTTTCTTCCCAAACCCACAATCCCAGCCTAAACATGAGAAAAACAGCAGACAAATTCCAATAGAGGGGCATCCTACAATATACCTGACCAGTTCTCTTCAAAAATGTTGGGTCATTAAAAGCAAGGAAAGTATGAGAAACTGTCACAGCTAAGAAGAGCCTAAAGGAACCTGATGAATAAATGTAATGGATGTGGTATCCTGGATAGGATTCTGTAACAGAAAAAGGACATTAGGTAAAAAAAACAAAAAACAAAAAACTAAGGAAATCTTAAAAAACTTATGGACTTTATCTAAAAATAATGTATCAATACTGGCTCATTAATTGTAACAAATGTACCTTACTAGTGTATGATGTTAATAATAGGGTATACTGTGTGTTGGGGAGCATATATGGGAACTCTCTGTACCGTTTGCTCAATTTCTCTGTAAATCTAAAACTGGTCTAAAAAATCTATTAAAAAAACTGAAAAGAAAAAGAGGAAAAAAGGCATAAGGATCTGCTATGGTTGTATAGGTGTATAGAATTAAATGCGTGCACACATACACACACACACATACACAGACCAACTTCTTTGACCATCTGCTAAAAATGAACGCTAAGATATTGCATAGTTATTATCATGTGTTTCCTGTCTCTCTTCCATTAGGGGGCACTAGAGGGAGACTGTGGGGCTGGAGGAGGAAGAAGGGTATGATCCTTCCTGTCTGCTTCCTGTTGGCTTCTGATCTGCTTCCTGTTCCTGTGAGCTGCACTCGAGCAGTGCTTCTCCATACTGCTCTGGGCAATTCCTTCCCATATTCAGAACTGAATCCAATTTGCGGTTTCTCTGACACAAATATGTTCCTCTTCAGAGTCTCCGGCACCAGCCACACCTCCTTTTTATTTGTGTATTTATTTATTTATTTTTCACACTTCTCTAACAGATTTATTATTATTTTTTTTTTTGAAAGGAGTGGATGTGAGGAGAAAAAACATGGGGCAGAGAGGTATGGAATAGAAAATAAATACAAATGTAAGCTGTTTTGCTAATTGTTTTATAACCACAAACTAGTATAGAGAATACCCTATACAAAACAACACAATAAAGGTTCAAAGATCGAAGTTGTTCCCTTAGGCAAGGCTGAAGATTTCAGTTTCTGGTATTTGGAATTTAGGCTGCAGTCCTTGTTTTTGGGTGGATCACTGGGTATGTGGCACAGTCCATGCTTTTAACCAGATTTGAAAAGAAGAATGGCCGCTTGGCCCAGGTAGAAGTAGATGAAGTGTTTGGTTTCACGTGTCATATAGTTACCCAAGTACCTCCTCACGATTCAGTGCTAAGTGGGGTTGTACTTCTTGTCAAATTCCTTCTTGATACGGGCTGCGGTGTCCTTCTCTATGTTATGTTTCTCCAATGCCTGAGTAGCACACTCCATTGGCTCCTGTTGCATCTCCTCCAACATATCCGCATTTTTGGTCACGGCCTTTCAGTCTCATGTGGTTTCCACCGAGCAGCAGCTGGCCCACCTCCTTTTCAGAAGTGTCTCTTTTTAGGGTCTCGGATCCAAAGGCCTCCTTTCGACTCCTCTCCCCAACAGCAGCTGAGCAGCACTCCCTCCACAGATCTCTAAGTTTCAGTGCTGCAGGGTGCTCCTCCAAACTGCTAAGTTTTAATAATCCCAGCCTCTTCTTTGTTCCTCAACCCCAGGAGTGTTAGCTGTTTCCTGCAGTTGCTACCTCTGTGCTGGAGCCAGCCCATATTGGCTTGCAAAAGGCGATTGTTAAATTTTCAGGAATTTTTCAAGTCAGCTGTTAAACCGTTGGTAGCTGGAAATCTGCCATGGTAGGAGTATTTACACCATGGAAATTGGCAAATGCTACAGGTCAGGTTTCCCCAACCAAAGAGCTGGTTGTAAACACTTAGCAGCCCACCACTGCTTAAGAGTTCTCTTTTTACTCCTTCAGTTACCTAGTTAATAACTTTATACCTAGTTAAGAATACTTTATATCCATTTTTCTCTATTAAGTTAAGTAGTGTGGTTTCTATATCCTGAATGGACCCTGAATGATACATAACATTGTAGAGTTGTGCTTCTATTAGACTCAATTATACTCCAGGAAAACTGGTAAGTGTGTGTAGTTTTTTTCTGTTTTTTTTTTAGACAAATATCGTTGGTAAAAAGTGGCTGGCACCTAGAATTTTATAAATATTCCATTAATATTAGTTGTGTTACTAACATTAGTTAACATCGATAACATGAGTTGATGCTGGTTCAGAGTCTCCAGTTGTCACATGGAAAGCTATCTTGCCTGTTTTAGGATGTAGTTTATAATTCTTTTTTCTGTGCAGAAGGGAATGAGATATAGCCACTAACCACATTTTTGCTGAGCAAGGAGGATGGCATGTTTCTTGAAAAACACAAATAAATCAAATCCTGTTTTAAACATGTTAGGGTACTTCGTGTCATAAGGAATCCTATCATAAATCTTTCGTAAAAGAAAACCATTCCCTATTCTGGCACTGGTATAGATCTGGTTTCACATGTCAAGTTTCTAAAAAGCAAGGTATATTTGATATCTCTGATTCCTTAAGATATACACTCTGGCTCTCGATAACTCTATGCTTTCTGTTAAGGCCTTTGATCTCCATTTTGGCTGCATAATTTTGCTTATTAGACTTGGAGAAACCTCTTGTTGGTTCTCCAAAGCTTTGATCCTGCTCATCATGTCTACGAGGCTCCACAAGGTTATATTCTGAAAAGAGATGCCAATATTGTAACATAATCATCAAAATAACTTGTAAGAAAAGCAAACTTTTCACACAAATCCTATATTTAAAGATGCCTTCCTTCCAATAACATTCATTAAGCGACCATCTGTTTGCCTTTGATTATCATCTGGACCACTAATAAGCAAGTTTAATCTGAGCAGTGTTATTTGCACGCTACTTCTAAATTTAGTGCTTTTCAAAGAAGTCAGCAAAGCTGGCCTCCAGGAAATATTGGCTTTGATGTAACATCTGGTTTTCAGAGAGTTTCTGTGTTGTGCCCAACTTGGTGGGGAGGTGGACCAAAGGGCAAAGAGAAGTCAAGTGACTTGCCCAGAGTCTTGTACTAGTCAAGGACTTAACCTGGATTACCTGCAGTTTCTATCTGTGGCTAAAAGTCCTAGCCTGCGTATTTCTATTCTATATGTTGTATAGATATTGTATGCGTAGACATAGCCATCCCCCCCTAAATATTCACAAATAGATAAATGTGTGGATCTGTAAGACTAATTACAGATTTATTTTTTTGCATCTTTCTTTTTGGTGTTTCCTCTCTAAATTTTGAGGAGAAAAGAAATTTCCCTGCATTATCCTCCCCTTTATTAAAAAAATGATTTGAAATAAGAGTAAACTGTTATTGCCTGCAAAAACTTCTCTGCAAGTGAACTGATCTTTTTCCTTGCAAGGGGAATGGAGGGTTAAATTGAATGGCAAACTCACCTCATTTGAGGACACCTGGAAGGCATCATCAACAGGTGTCATCCCCGTCAACCTTTTTCCCTTCTCAATTGCTTTCTCCATTTTTCCCTCCTTTCTCCGTCCCTGGGCTGGAGATCACAGAGCTGTCAACACCTATAACGCATTATTATAAAGAAAGTTCAAGGTTATGATGCTTTTATGATAAAAGCAATTCTTTTTTGTTACTTTACTGGGTCAATATGTTTTATAATCAATATGTGATTTTAATGTCCTTATACTAATTGTAACATAATATATTCAACCTTATTAGTGCTTTTAGCTTTAAAGGTATTTTCACATTTATGGTTTAATCTAATCTTCTCAGGTTTTTATTATAAAATAATTTGCATGTTATGTACGTTTAGAATTGTTTTCCCATCAACTAAAGGACCACTCCAATTTTTGTACAGCCAAGCATATCTTAATATCTTATAAATTAAGAAAATTAAAATTCTAATCTGACAAATTGGAGTTTAAGTCTCAGCTCTACTGGCTGTGTGACCTTGGGCAAATCATTAGAACTTTCTAACCTTCAGTGTCCTCATCTGTGAAATACCTATCTCATAACATTGAAAGAACGAAATGAGATTATATGTAAAGCTGTTAGCACGGTGCTCTGACATACATTAAAAGGTCAGGAAATAGTCCTCGATTTTCTTTCTTGTTGTTTTATTTTTTCTCCTATAAAGTACATTAGTGTCCTGTGGTTGGTTCTTGCCTGACTCTTAGAGATTTAATGAAAATCAGAGTCACATTGTAGAGTGTGAGGGATCTTGGAAATCTTAGAAAGCTTGATTAGAAAATTAAATGAAATGGTGTGCTAGAGACTTTTGTATTTGGCTGGACAAGATCCATTCCCTCTGCTATGGGCGATGCCACCCCAAATTCCCTTTAAGGGAGTTCCTTTTGCTCTTTTCTGTGCAGTCTTGGGAGTACTATGAGAAAAGTGACATGCCTTCCCTTAGCCAAGGGCTGGGCATGAGACCCAAACCATTGCAATTGTGCTGCCTCTCCTGGGACTTTGAATCCTGGTGAAATAACACAGGGGCAGGAAAATGGTTGAAGTTACTTGGGACCCTGAAGTGATTACCTATTGGAGAGGTCATGTATACACTGAGTGGCTAAGAGCAGAGACTCAGGAGCCAGGCAGCCTGGGTTCAAACTCCTTACCAGCTAAGTGACCATAGCCAGGGCAAGGTACTTCACCTCTTTATGCCTCAGTTTCCTTCTCTCTAAAATGGAGTCATTAATAGTACCTAGCTCCTAGGATTGTTGTGAGAATAAATAGTTAGAATATCTAAAGGGTTTAGGATGTGCCTGGTACATATTAAATGCAGAATATATTATAACTGCAGCTGCTCACACTGGTACTACCATTACTCTGTTCTTACCTTGAGACACCAGACTTACCTTCGTTGCTATTCTTTCCTGGTCTGGTTCTCCAACCTTCTCTTTCATTCTGAGAGCTACTCAATATGCCCTTTGTAAACTTTACTGGCTAAGGTAGCCAGAGTTGGTTTCTGTTGCTTGAAACCATATGATCTTAAGCAATAAGAATCAGTCTGAAAAGCCACGACATCCCATCCCCTCTTTTTATATAGATTAGAAAATTGGGTGAAATCCCTAGCTGAGATCACTGAGCATGCAAATGGGGGTATTTGGATTACTGCCTGACTAGCCTGTCCACTGCTCATGGACTTTCTTTGCTGGACCAGGATTATGCTTAATCTGTCCTTGCTCTTTTCTTTCTTTAAAACAACTCCACTCCCAGTTCCTTGTTGCTGAAACTTGCCTAATTTCTTTTGCACATTATTTTTGTATTCAGTCTTCAATCCTGTTGTTTAATTGTTTTTCTCCTCACTTGACAGACCAGGGCAGTTACAACTTTGGTCTCATTGCTATTTAGGGACTCAGCTGGAACAGATGCTTTCCTTGCCCCATACTCTTTTCCACCAGTCATACTCCTGTCTTTTTATTTTGAAAAATCTCATTTGTTGATTCATTCCTTAGTTAATTCATTCATTCATATATTCATTCAATTAATAAATACTTACTGAGCATCTATGATGTTCTAGAAACTGTTCCAGATGCAGTGGATATGGCAGAGAAAGGCGATGTCCTTTACAACAAGGAACTTACAATCCCAGTGGATTTATAGACGTATAAACAAGATTATAGAATGTTACACAGTGTTAAAACCAACAAGGGTAAGGATTTGGAGAAAGTGGGGTCCTAATTCATATAGTGTATTGAGGAAGAAACATTTGATCAAAGATTTGAATGAAGTGAGGATGGGAGCCCTGTGAATATCTGTGGGAGAAACATGCCCTGAGTTGGGCATATGCTTGGGATGTTTGAGGAGAACAAAGAGGCCAGTGTGGCTGGAGGACAGTGAACAAGAAGAATAGTGAGATCTGAGCGGTAGCAGGGGCAGACCACGTACGGCCTCAAATTCATAGTAAGGACTGTGGACTTCTTTCTAAGTGTAGTGGGAACAGTGATATCCTGGAGCCCGTTTACACTGCTCGGAAGATCAGCCTGTTGGCATGTCTTCTCAATCCTGTGTTCAACGATTTCACACAGATTATTAAACATTGACCAGCATACCACTGGATGGAAAGCTCTTGGAGGGTTAAGAGGAGGAGAGTGGCACAATCCCACTTACCTTTTAGAAGGATCAATCTGGCTGCTCTGTGGAGAACAGTTTGTAGGAGGCCAAGAGTGGAGGCAAGGGGACCAGATAGGAGTCTATTGCTGTAGTCCTGGGAGTGCTGATGCTCAGAATTTGGGAGTAGTGGTAGGATATGCATAAAATCGTGGAATGTGGGATATATTTTGAAGATAGAGTGACACTATATGCTGAAGAATTAAACAAAGAGTGTGAGTGAAAGTGAGGAGTGAAGAATGACTCCAAAATTTGATTCTGAGCATCTGGCTTAATGGAGGTGCTGATTACTGAGATGGGGAAGTCTGGGGAAGTGGCAAATTGGGGTAGGAACTTATATTCAAAAGTTGTAGCTCGGATCTGTGTTTCCAGAGTAGGAAAAAATGAGAAACAAAGAATAATTGTTGGGAAGAGTAACCCTTGTTAAAAGGCCCTACAAAGAGAGGATGGGACCAGGAAGTTGTCAGATGGCCAGCTTCCTGTTGGGAGTAAAGAATTGGAATTGAAACCCTTGAGGGAAGATATTAACCTATTAGACAAAGAATCAGTTGCTTCTTTCTTAAAGTAGAAACAGGTTTCTACCTAACATTAAAAATATAACTCTTGCATCAAGACCTCGAACAAACATATATGCAGAAAATAAAAACATTTAATTAATTATTACCTTTCTAAGCCTCAGCCAGACTCTCTCCAATGCCTAAAGAAATGCCTGATTATAAAGTTTCTACTGAACAATTCATGCTGACTCTTTTAGGCCACACTATCACAGTGGTGAAAGGATGGAATAATGGTTAAGAGAACAGGTGCTGGAGCTCAAAAGCCTGGGTTCACATCGCAGCTCTGTCCACTTCCAGCCACGTGGCTTTGAGTGAACTGATGGAGCAGTCTCTATCTGCAACTTGCAGGTCTCACGGCAGAGGGGAAATACACATGGCTAACCATGTGTTAGTTCTTAAAGCTTCTTTTTAAAAGTGACAAATGTGAATTTTGCTTACATTTCATTGGCCAAAGGTGGTTATATGGTCAAGCCTGACATCAACAGGGAAGGGATATTTAATCTTCTCACCGAGAGGGACAACACAAGTCTGATTTCAGTCTCCTTCAGAGAGTGACAGCAAATATTTTGAACAATGATGTAGACTACTTAAGGGTAATATAGGTACAGGGTAATACATGGACCTCATCTTTAGCATCTAGTGACATATTATCTTAAAGTTCTGGTTCCACATCTATTACTACTAACAGCATTGATTCTTTTCAAAAATGAAACATTCTCATTAACATCTGGAAGGAACAGATCAGAGAATTATAGTCCCGGCAGCTAATTAGAAGAGAATAGTGGGCCGGCCTGGTGGCTTAGCAGTTAAGTGCGCACGCTCCGCTACTGGCAGCCCGGGTTCGGATCCCGGGCACGCACCAACGCACTGCTTCTCTGGCCATGCTGAGGCTGCGTCCCACATACAGCAACTGGAAGGATGTGCAACTGTGACATGCAACTATCTACTGGGGCTTTGGGGAAGAAAAAAAAAATGGAGGAGGATAGACAACAGATGTTAGCTCAGAGCCGGTCTTCCTTGGCAAAAAGAGGAGGATTAGCACGGATGTTAGCTCAGGGCTGATCTCCCTCACCAAAAAAAAAAAAAAAAAAAAAAGAAAAGAAAAGTGCCATGTGCATTAAAAAAAAAAGAAGAGAATGGCTTTCCAATCTTAGGATTTTAGATTGCGCTATAGTAGTAAATTTCTTTTGGGGGCCTGAGTTTCTGTGGGTTTAGTGTCTGGATTTTAGAATTGCTAGCTACTGCTTGGATTTCTTCCCCGGCTGCCCCATAGGCTTGGTGCAGCAGCTCTGCCACTCATCTCATCCCCTGGGTCTCGTCATTTTTCTGTGAAACAAGGTAGATCAGTTGTCATCCACTTGACTCACAGTCATGTTGTGAGGATTAATGAGTTCAAGTTTGTAAAATGTCTCCAGCTACTGAAAGGTGATAAATAGAAGGCATAATTATTGGTATTTTCCTGTCTTTATTTAGACTTGAAAGGCCTTTCTAGTCACCTTTGAGATTTTGACACAAGCTGGCTACTGTGGTGAATTTCATTTGTTTTACCTCCCTTCTGTTTGACATTTCTCTACCCTTCTCCCATCACGGTGCCTTTAAAGAAGGAATGTCAACTTTAACCTTTCATGTCTCCATCTGTTGAGATTTTTGGCTTGCCTTATTGTTATTTTGTATATTCTATTTTACCATTTACAAGAATGTGCTTTCAGACCTATGCTACTAGCTAAGTAAAACAGATGCATTGAGGGCAAACTGTAGTTACATGTTTATTCTATATAGTGCCTGGCAAGTTCATAGGCTGGTTCAATGATTAACCAACATTATTCACAAACACAGGCTTCCACTGAGCTCTCGATCTGAAAGTCTCATAACTAATTTAAAACAGAGTTCAAAACAAATGTTTATTATTAATATATTCAACGCATTTACATATAGGTACTCTCCACCTCTGGCTTTGACCAGATGGCATAGAGAGGAGAGTTGAGAGAGGAATATTCTATGCAGAGGTTGTCATTTCAGGGATGTCATTTAAGTTAGTATTATTGTGTTCGCTGTGATTCTGCCTTAGGGGTACAGAAACAAACTGTAATCCTTCTCCAGCCAGGCAAACTTGGTTTCTCTCAAGAACATGTAAATAGATGGCTTCTATTTTCACTTATTGCCACTGTAAGGGCAGGCATTTCTGCAGATTCATGTTTCTCCTTTAAAACTTGCTTCTGCAAAACTGACTCACATTAGACCCACCTGGCTCCTGTTGTGAGTTATTTGGCTTTCCTTTAGCACTAATGCAGGCACAGTGGTGTGGTGGATAATACTGTTAAAGAGCTGGTTTATATAAAATCCCTACATATAGTGAAACTCAAGAGTTACGTGTAAAATATGAATCAGAAAATTAGGGGTT